GATAACGAACGTTTCTCCTCCGTTAGGAAAATTACCAAAACTATTCGAGGACAAAGATGCTGTTAACGTAAAAAAGGCCATTGAACACGCAGTGCATGTCCTCCATGCTTATCTTAAGAAAAAGAACCTAGACGATGCCTTCGAAAGCTACAATGATGAACTGTTGTATTCAAACCTTGCTAAATTTTACACGGTGGCTCGCGTTCAAAAATCAGAACCTTTAGTTTTGTTTTGTTTTATTTTATTGTTGAAGCATATAATAAAACAATTATGGGCTTGTGTGCTGGTAAATATGATGTGATATGAACCTGAAAGAGTGATATTGACCTCGGCCTCTTTCAAGTTCATATCACATCATATTCACCAGCACAAAAGTTCGCCGAGGTCAATATCACGCTTTCAGGTTCATATCACATCATATTTACCAGCACAAAAGTCCATAATTGTATATTACAGTAGACACTTGCTATTAGGCACCAGCCATTAGACAGTAGACACTTGTCACTAGACACTTGTTATTAGGCATTAGCCATTCGACACTAGACAGTAAACACTTATTATTAGGTACTAGTCAGTAGGCACTTGACACTAGACACTAATAATTAGGCACTAGTCATTAAACATTACTCAGTGAACACTAGTGATGAAACATTAGACTGAAGGTACTGGTCATTAGACACTTGTCATGTAACGTTCCTCAGTTAACACTAGTAAGTAGACACTAGTCATGAGACACTTGTCATTAGGTATCAGCCATTCACCACTTGCAGCAAACACTAGTCAGTAGACACTTGTCATTATGCACCAGCCATTAGACACTTGTCAGCAAACACTAGTCATTAGAAACACGTCAACAGACATAAGGCATAAGGCACTAATTAGTACTATTTAACGTCTACTATTTGTAACCAGTAAGATATCTTAGTAACTTACCGCACCAGTAAACAATAGGGTGTCGATTGGTGACTATCCGACAGCACCAGTAAACAATAGGATGTCGATTGGTGACTATCCGACTGCACCAGTAAACAATAGGGTGTCGACTGGTGACTATTCGACGTCTGTTAACATGTCAGCTTTAATAGTATATATTGTATATATTCTGTACCGATAGTACCATAATAGGACTAAGTGATGTGTCAAATCAAAGTCATGTGATATTACTTTTGAAGATGTAACATAAAAGGAGCATTCAAGTTGATGTGGGAATCGTTTGTTACAATTGTATGTGTCGATAATCAATCTGTTAATGAATCATTGAAATGTTATATACATGTATAGTTGATTAGTTAGATTACAAAGCGAACCCTGTTACGTTTCGATTACTTATTACTAACTTTTATCACATACCTGTTGAATCTTGTTATAGTAATACAAGCAATTATCAGACCATGAAATACAACGTTCTGTATTGCACATGTGCAATACGGAATGTTGTATTTGCCTACTAGCCGGAACTACTTTTTATGGGAATTCCCTTGTCATGGCGAACTGAAAAGTTCCCGGTATTTGCAAAAAATATAAGTTTATAAAATCATGGTATCGATCTCTACCAAATACGGAAGGTATGTGATAAAAGCAAGACCACATACTTGTGTTTTTCTAACGAATCAGGAAACACTCATTTATTGTGCCGACTTATATACAAATGTATTCATTCGTGCGCTCCGCGCACTCGTGAATATATTCGTCCGCCAAATAAACTCGTGCTTTCTGATTCGTTGGAAACGTATTGCCATTAGAATGTTATAACGACTGGCGTCACTGTTATATATCAACAATTAATAAGTATGCCTGTGAATGCAGCTATATGTTATTTTTCAATCTCATCGAACATAAGAATACCCATATATTTATTTTTTCTTGAAGATTTGTTAAGACATTTGTTCCCTAAATTTCATCAGTAAGTTTGCTTATTAATGCAGCTTTATGTTACGTAGATTCATGAAATACCAAAAAAAAACATGTGTATATTTATAGGAATATGTATTTTATTGTTTGTTTTCTCTCTCTGACAATTTGGTAAGGAAATATTTGTGTCAGTGAATCTTTTTATTAAACAAAATATAAATATAATCAATTGCATATTATTTCTCTTTATGCAACTGAACAGTACTTTTTTTTAATTGATATCCCATCAAACCTACACCTGTCATACAATTAAAGGCTCGAATAATGGAGCACTCAAATAACAACAAAATAATATCGAAGCGTCAACAAAACCATAACTTTTAACTCAACCAACAATAAACGTAGGGCAGAATATGAACAAAGGAACGTTTTACATGGAGACTCTTGAAAAAGTATAAGAAGAATAAGACCAAGTGTTCCTGAAGGGTAAGCGTCTTCTGCATCATCGACGACTCCCGACATCGGCGGGCATCATGTGCCCGACTTTACAGTTTGGTTTAGTAGTATTGTTTAACGCCCGACTTTACAGAGCCTTTTAAATAATTACAAAGGTATTGTTTACCTCTAGTAACCATTAGTAAAAGTATCGCTTATCCGCGTCTGTCGTGGTTAAACTAGCCTCGCGACAGGTAAAACTATATAAAGACAGGTGTCTAAGGTGACAAGGCCGTCAAGAAAGAGTTGAGAAGTGAAAAAATATACATCTTTATTGTAACGTAGGAGTACAAATCAATTTTGATTTATGAAATTTCTCCTAAGTAGACACAAACAGAGCATCTCGTAATGCTGCACGGGGTCTATTTCTCATTTTGCGTGATGTATCTGTGAAAAAGTAGAATGAAATACAAAAGGAGACATATTTTCGGGAAGTATCCAGTGGTAATGATATATCGCAACAGAAAAAAAGTCGCATATCCAATGTTTCAAAGAATTCGGTTGACATATGGTAAAATGTATAGCCGACCAATATATGTTGATGGAGGGGGAGAAATAAGCTTAGCATCAGAAAAAATAAACAATATATATATATAGCAGTTGCAAGTACACACCACGTTGTGTTGTATTAATACCTTACGTTTTAAAGGTTTCGGCGCAGTTAGAACCATAGCATGTTAAGGGACATAGCTAGTATAATATGTGTCAGAAAAGAAAAACCAGCAAGGTTTCCTAGAATTAAGATTTGTCTCCCGTTAAGCAGTAATTGATTTCTCTATTGACTTTTGGCGAATGGTAACTTTGCGCTGACAAGAACAAAAATCATAACAATACCGATGTAATTTAGATAACTTTCTTTGATCCAAGTATATTTCTAAATACATTTAATAGCTATTTGATATTTAGCGATCCAATCATATCCAGCAGCTAACCGTAAGATATTATGAATGGTGGCTCATTATGTACATTGTATTATACTGAAAAATGTCTGCAAACAAACTGATAACCTTACAAACTTTGTGCACTCAGTGGCGGTAAATCGTTGAAGAAGAGAAATGTAATTTTCCTATAAACTCCTAAAAAGTAAACGTTGGATGAATTCATGACATGTGTTTCTTTTAAGATAATTATCACCATACCAATCGATCACTACACAATGTAAAACTAGGTAGCGACATCATATAAAATTAGTCAGCTTCAGTTTAAAATTGTGATTCATTAACTTTGGGGGAATAATACTATACGATACTGTAACTTTTATTATTTACAAAGGGATATATTTACCAGCTGATAAACAAATCCCTTTGAATTGGCCTTTTGAAACTGAATGACAAACCGAAGCGGCACTGTCTCCGCTTGATCTGCATTTACAAATTTTTTCCAAGTGATGATATAAAAAATGTTATCCCTTCACCAGTCAAAAGTAACTACCTATCTCGTAATTTGTTGATGGGTGGAGATAGTCAGAACATCTTCCATATGGTCTCTTTGGCACCGGGTTTGGTGTACACTCTAATTTTAATTGATGATTTCTTGTACACTGGAGCATGTCCACATACTTTCCTTCCATGATTGAAAATATTTGTACTGTGCCGATACAAATGTCCACAACGACCAATCCATACCTTTAAGGAACAGAAGGTTCATCATATGACTGAACGTGATGTCTCCCAAAACGGCGAAAAATGCTGCTGTCTATTTCACACTAGCACTTAAAAAATGGTGAATCCTATAACAGATATTGATATTGTATTAATATTTTTCGGTATGCATCGCCTCTGCTGCATAAATCTGTTAGGTAAAAGTTGAAAATGATCGTTGTCGATTTTTTGTTCGCGTAGTGGCAGAGTTAAATAAAAGAACCTTTCCATCCGTGTATGTAAAGAGTATGGATATGTCCTGGTAAACAAGTAAAACATTAATTGAAGTTCGCACCAAAGCCTGTCATCAGCGTGAAAATCTTGTAAATATTCACTTTATGGAAAGCCACGATTTTTATGTTCTGACGAAAAGAGCATCAGTAGAATGAGTGCTGATACACTTTTATATCATACAATAAATTGTTCGACTACTTTTAATGATTATTCTCAAATAACAGCAGAAAGCGATAGAATTGCCTTGAGTAGCCAATTACGAATGGAGCGGTCACTATTGCTAAGCATGGCGTCTAAGTTTTCGCTACATATTATAGTAAATGCCCGCACCTTTTGAAACTTTTAGTTATATTTTTGTCAACGTATATTTGTAAATGTTTTATGACATTCTCATTGAATGCCATATCACATAATGAACTGTGCTATCCAGTGAATATACCCATGTCATTTTTTTGGCGTATTAACCCATGTAATATGACCTATCAGCCCTGTGCTTGGTTGTAAGTTTCAATTGTTTCAATTGTTACGTCACTCCTAGGATAAGTACATGACGTCACAGACCTACGCATTGGAGTCAAAATGGCGGCTTTTTACATTTCAAGGTTGCATGAGAATTGTCGTTTTACACGATTAATGCCACAAATCTTGATTATATGATAAAAAGGATCTGACACTCGTTTTCATTTCATATGAAATTTATGAAACTCGTCAAGAATTTTTCATTTAAGCTCGCCAGAGGCTCGCTTAATTGAAAAATTCTTAGACTCGTTTCATAAATCTCATGAAATGGAACCTCATGTAAGATCCGGTATATATTTCACCCTTGTGGCAGAATATATCGATATTTTTAATTGTGTTAAATCAGTGGTTTATTGTTATGTAATAGGTCACAAATCCTCCTCCCTCGTTTTATTCAGTCGTGTTCGTATCGAACTATCATTATTTGTGCATACAACCTGTGCATACAATCCGTCATACAATTCGTCATACAATCCGTCATACAACCTGTGCATACAATCAGTCATACAACCTGTACATACTATCAGTCATACAACCCGTCATACAAACCGTCATACAATCCGTCATACAACCCGTCGTACAACCCGTCATACAATTTGACATGTTCCGGTGCAACTTATGCTTTTTTCCTCATGACGGGAATATGTTATTATTGACCGAGCGCCCTCGTAATGTAGTCAATAGTGAAAGTGAGAGAAAGCGAGAAAGCGGGGAACAAGGACTTCGAGTATAATTTAGAATTTATTGTCTTATATATTGCATATTCTTCCCTCACGTGCTCTCTCTATCACAGACTTCAGAGGATTTGAACAGCCAAACAAACATAAAAATGGATTTCAGATAGAAAATGATTGCATAGTAATTTCATTAAAATCTAGCACCATGACAGTATCGTCAATTAAAGTATAAAGAAATTGACTGTATAAGCAATGGCATTATAACTAATGACGGTGTAATCAATGAAAGTATAAATCTCTCTCTCTCTCTCTCTCTCTCTCTCTCTCTCTCTCTCTCTCTCTCTCTCTCTCTCGCGTTAACACAGACACACGACATTGCTACAGAGATTACAGATGAAGACGACACATCTGCGATGATAACAAGACACATGCAATGACAACTAAAAAACAGATGGCTTGTCTATTGTATAAAATGCAGACGCTACTTCAGGTCCTGATTTTTCATCCTGTTCACTGTTGCCAGTAGCTGTGTTTTGGTGTAAGGAACACCCTTGTCTATATGGTACCTGAGGGCCGCCGCGGTGTACCGACTGTTTTCAAACTCGTAGTCCCAACTATTGCCTCCCTCAGGTCCATTCCTAACGCCTTCACTGTTGTAAGCGGTAGGGCCGGGGCAGCCGTAGTGATTGTGAGAAGAAAGGTATGTTCGTGGTTTTTTACCCTGCTTCATTAATATTTCATTTTCGTGAATTCTCTGACAAACAAAACACTCAAATCCATCGATAAAGTTATGATACTTTGTACCTTGAGATCCATCTACGCCCCACTCACGATTTTTCATTAATTCTATCAAATACTTATTTTGTATTCCTGTCTTTTTCCAGCTTAAATATTTTTCATATTCATGGTCGTTTTCGTTGAGAAACTTGATATATTCAGCTAGTTTCTTTACAGATTCAAATTCCTCTACGATTATTGCTGAGTGGTTGGAAGGCAAGAACTCCTACAAAAGAGAAGGACTGAAATTATGACAAGTTAATTTATAAAACAGATGTTATGCACAGTTTTTCGCGACAAGAAGTTACGACACTTCCCCTGAACTCCCTTTGCCACACATTACGAGAGGAAAGTTTTGTCAAGTCAAGTGCTGGAGTGATAGGAAGTGTTGACAGCATATGACTTAGTTTTTCAGCTAAACACAAAAATGATATTACCGGAAACTAAACAACTTGACCGGAACCAGATGTGCCGCCCTTTTTAATACTTAACGAGGGAGTATGAGAGTACGCAAGTCGCTAACTGGTTACCGTCACAATAGTTGTACTATACTGTTAATTTCGAGTTCATATGGAAAATAAAAATAATTGTAGTATAGTCTTATACATGTGCATTCTATATTTGTAGAGGATCATTTAATTGTAGAGTATTAAGTGTTGAGTATTCTGTGTACTAAGGTCAATAAATAGCATAAAAAGACAACGTGTAACAAGTATATTTTTGATCATTGGTAAAACTTACTTTGACCTTTGGTGAACCCATGACGATGGGAACCGATCCCGCCATCAGAGGGCGCCACAGCTTCTCGGTAATGTAGTCGTCACACAGAGAATTCTCGAAGGCCAGCGAGAACTTGTACTTGGATATCAGCTTGTAAAAGTCACCATGACCCATGCCTTGTATTGGATCTTGTAAACTGAAAAACCACACCAAAATATATTTAAACGGTCACATCCGAAAATAAAGAAACGTGCAGCTAGATGAAATTATGGTGATTTGTAACTCAAGATTGTACAATATATGCATGCATGCATAGAAAGATGCAAAACAGCATTAGAAAAACGATCCTATACAATTGTACAACCCAGACACTGATATGTCCGTATACTATTCCGACGCCCATAGAAGACCACGAAACACATACTTATAGGGAGGGGATTTACTCTGAAGTCTAATAACCTTCCAAGAATTACTCTCTTTCAAACTTTGAAATGGGAAGTAATGCAACTACATCTTCACCACTGTATATATACGAGATCTCATATGAAATGGCAAGGAATTGACGATTATTTTTATAGCATAACAAAGAACTCTTGCCAAATTTCATAGAAACCTAATCCTTAACCATTGGTATTACTTTCTTATCTGTAACGTAATAATGCAATTAAAAAATATGTGACGTCATGCAGAACGTCACAATAGAAACAATTGCACTTACAACAAAACCACAGCTCCACTTAGTGGTATTACATGTGTATGAACACAGCTATTGTGATGAGTGTTAAGATACTGCTAACAGGGTGGTAATTTTATGAATACTTAAATTACGAAATATACAAACAATTGCCAAAGGTATGATATGATCGCATCAATAATCTATAAAAAGAAAACACCAACTAAACGAAAATATCCGCACAAGCCAATCTAAAAATCTTTATTTTTTACTAGCATGTCTCCAGCCTTCCTTTAAACATTTAAACCTGGACATGTGAAAAATTACTGGGGAAAATATTGGACATCCGGTAGCACTAAGACTTACTGTGGAGGTAGATCCTTGTTGTGGACACACTTGCCGTACGAGTCTATCCCGATGTACTTCATCAGTAGTTCTACATACGTGTCACGGGCACTTGGCGTGCCACAGTCGCTGTGGACGTATATAAGGGGAGATAATTCCGTTTTCTGTAGGCGGTTCTTTTCCGCTGTTGGAACCATATACTCCGTGTTCGAAAGCCAATCCAAACTAGGTAGGTACTGCGTGGTGATAGGATAGTCAGACTCTCTCTTAAAGGTACACGTGTGGTTAAATAACGTCACGACAGGCTTGTGAGAGTAAATGTAATTGTTTTTAGGAGATTCCTCGTGCAGAAGGCCCCAGTACTGGTTTGGATTTCTTGGTAATGGCATGTCTACATGGTCCAAGTCAGTGCCATAGAACATAAACACCTAGAAACATAATGGCGCGGCATATCGTTATATAATGGAATGGATATATGTTGCACAAATCGCAAGCTATGTAATTAACAGTCACTGTAACAGTAATCAGTGAGAGTCGCAGAGGAACAGATTGAAAACGTTAGTATTAATCAATATTTAGAGTTTATAATCAAGTCTGACTGGGCCCGTATTCATGAAACCGTTCTCATGCTCGAGCATGGATTTTGTGCTCAAACTTACTTTCTTGCAATTCACTTAAATCATGTCAAACGATCAAAAAGTCAAATATGAACATTGAAAACAGTATTTGGCTTAAAGTCTCTTCAATTTTTGCCACATCATTGACAAAATAAGATTTTTATTATTCATTTATCAACGGAACAAGAAATTAGGCTTGAGCACAAATTCCATGCTTGAGCACGAGAACGGTTTCATGAATACGGGCCATTACGTTAGGTTAATGCGTAAGTATGTGTCAATATTTTGGTTGGGTATTATTTCAATCTTTTGTAAAAACAAATCGAGAATATAAAAAAATACATACATTATATGAAAACACATGAACTTCAGGAATACAAAAATTAACACTTACATGCAATTATATTTTTAAGTTAACACGCATTACAATTCGTTCATAAATTTAGACTTGTCTACCGAACATTATGAAGATGTTCAATGATGTCATGGTGTATATAGTTATGGATACACGTTGCCTCTTTGCTTTAAAAGGGCAGGGCTACGTCCTTGTTCCTGGATTTTTGTTTCTCACTTTTGTTGTTGTTGTTGTTGTTGTTGTTGTGTGCGATGATGTTGTTTTTATCGCTATTAAATACAAATAATGAAAGCTTCGTCGACCTATGATACCAAGATCCTCATGCGCTCTCAATGTTTCATTGTTTGCAGACAACTGTGTCTTGGCTGCCTAAGTCGTCGTGCAGAGATATTTTAAAAAGCGGTTCCACATTTGCTCACATTGTCTTGGCAGGAACGGTAACCCACATCGAAGTTCTTCACAAAAAATATATCAGGAATCGAGAATTCCTCATGAGAAATTAATCGAGACAAACGGGTTATATGAACGAATAACTAAGACTTGATTCCTTTGGCACCTGTGCTTCTTGGAGCTTATTCCGATCACATAGCTTCCGATTGACAGTCGAAGCGATACAAAGATGTCATGAAAAAGGCGCTAGTGGTTTGCAACTACAACATTTATCCTGACTTGGGGCCCTAGACTCAAACTGAATTTCCTGGAGACCAGTTGTTGGCCTAGGTATCACCTGGAGACCAGTTGTTGGCCCAGGTATCACCTGGAGACCAGTTGTTGGCCCATGTATCACCTGGAGACCAGTTGTTGGCCCATGTATCACCTGGAGACCAATTGTTGGCCAAGGTATCACCTGGAGACCAGTTGTTGGCCCAGGTATCACCTGGAGACCAGTTGTTGGCCCATGTATCACCTGGAGACCAGTTATTGGCCTAGGTATCACCAGCTTGAGCTGCAGCATCTTACGATGTTGCTTTCCCTGTGTATACATTGGTGCTCCATGCTTGGGTTAGTTCACCAAGATACCTTTTAGATATATGCATTGTCTAAAAGAACAGGGAACTAGTCGCAATCTAATAAGCTATGGCCGGATAACTCATTAGCAAACACGCGATTGAGGGAACTATACACCTGCGTCACCCGATAGGGTATATTTGTTGGTACCCAATTAATTAATATCACAAACTAGACAGAAATCAATTACATTTTCCTGTAAATACACTTGACTAGCATGAATAAACAAAAACCAAGTGAGATCCATAATGCATGAAGACTGGATCGAAATCATAATTGTATAATTGTGCCCGTCTCTCCAAGACCTATCCGACCAGCTTCTGTTACACATTTAAATCGATGGGTACCTGGCAGGACTATCACTGTAACCATGAATAATACAACGATATATACTGTATAAAGTTTAACAGCAGTTCTTCCACATACGATATCCCTTACCGGTGAAGTTAAAACATGGTCTAGCGCACGTTTTATAACGTTTACCACGTAAAGCTTTACAGTTGAAATCGAACATAGGCGGTTTACTGTGAAGTAAAAATAAACAGCATATACCAGCTTGAAGGCAGTGAATAATTACATATTGCATACATGGGTGACGTTTATTGTGTTAAGATTTAGAATAAATCGAATTCAATCAAACACACTTGTTTTGGATTATTCGAAAATGATCCCAACCTGCTTTGGTTCTTTTTTAATAGTAATACTTTTCAACGGGATTGGTGACAAAGCTGTTGTTTTTGCGGTCATAATGAAATACCTTTGTCCTGTTGTGTCTCCGGTAGTGCCGATCTACGGTGAAGAAACAGCTGTGGTCACCACATCGTTTGTAAGATCCACGATCACCCGTAAATGGGGTCCACCATAGAACGATAGGAACTGTGATGACCTCTCTCAGGGCCTTGATCTCTCCATCCGGGTCATGGAAGTCTTTGGTCTCCTCTACACATTCAAATGAATGGTTAGACAAAGGTTTTGGGTAAGATAACAGTTACTTGATTGCGACTACCAAGAAGCACAAGCGCTGGTAGTTAGGAAAATATAAAGTGAATTTTCCTGTGCTTAAAAACATTTTTGTAACCAATGAATTCTTGGGGCGAGATAACTTTATACCTAGCATTGTAGTGATATTCAGTTACATGTACAAGCTAAGTCTAAGTACTTAGGACACATAACAGTTTCACGTGGTACTTGCCGACACCATGAACCGGAGCAGGCACAAATAAAGCAGAGTCAATTGTATCGAGTGTGGAAAGGATGAGTTGAAGGTTTTGGAAAATTTAATTAAACGATGGTGTTTTTTCAGTTTATTCAACTATTACTTTAAAGACTGATCATTCGTGTACATATCTGTGAAGTTTGAAGTAGAAATGACATCGTTGAAGGCAATGATTTATGACATATACTGAAGACTTGTGAGAAAAAACGAGTTGAAAGCCTTCATATAATTCGCACAAATGCTATGTGTTTGGAATAATGGTTGTCATTTTTGGGCGCAAAAAATTACGGTGTCGAGCACAAATAAACCAGAGTCGATCTGTTCGACTGACACATCGAACAAGGTGTATCATCAGAAAATATCTATATTTAAAATCTTTTGGAAAAGTTTTCATCGTTTTACCAGTAGCAGTTATCAAGTCTAGATAATATCAATATTTTTTGCAATGTTTTCAGTGTATGAATTGCACATAGAGATATCTCTGCAAGTCATCTCACAACCTGGCTTTTCTTCGGAGCCTTTGGTATTATTTTACATGTGACGAAAAGATAAAAGAAGCGATTTGAAAATGTAAAATTGAAGTGGATATGCACATCTGCAAATAAACGAAAAGGGATATTAGTGGATCATTGTGTTCGAAAACACGGCGATCGTGTATCAAAATATCTGTGTCCTAATATATTGGTGCACAGTCAGAGGCTTTACGTAACCGAACAAACATTCCCGAAAGGGACTTCTATAAATCGGAAAAAGATTTGCACGAAAATTAAAACATCAGTTGGACGTTACAGCGCCAAATAAATAGAAAGTTCAGACTATTGTTCTTTGTGCTTTCCATGTGCATTGTGCCCAAACGTTTTTCGACTCGGTCCTTATTTGCGCCCAAAAATGACAACTATCCTGAAAACATAGCATTAGTGCGAATTGAAGTTTTCCATCTCCAGATTACTCAGAAGTCTTCAGTAGATGTCACTTATCATTATCAACTGAGTAAAACAGTTAAAGAAAGTACAGAAACGCTTAATAGGTAATAAAAGTGTAAATATTATCGATAATAAACAGTGTAAACAGTTATATGACTCAGCAAATACCTTCAACAATGTCATTTCTACTCCAGATTTCAATAAATAAACTGAAATAAAGAGCAGTGTCTTAGTAAATTTTCCAAACACTTCCACTCCACTCACGATAATTTGACTGCGTTATTTGTGCCTGCTCCGGTTCATTGTATCGGGATATCCAGTGCGCTCCCTTATAATTGAACTTAAGCACCGAACAAAAACAACTTAATAAGATTTAGGCCAAATAAATATAATGTTGTATCTTAGGTATGCTATCGATGAGTAAAGAGGTGGTATGCTATCGATAAGTCAAAAAGGTTAATGGTTTTATCGGAAATGTTGAACACGTGGAACACTCGACGTCTGTCACGCTACGTGTATAGACAGATGAGTTATCACACGTGTATCCATGTACGAATACGTACCTTCATATTCCAATGTGTCTTTGCTTCCGGTATACCCGTCGCTCTACATAGGAGAAACAAAAACCACTGAAAACTTGTGTTGTATTTAACTTTCATTTTAATAGAAATCATCAAAACCACGTTAACTTGAAAAGAGAGTCAAATGTAAACTATCAGGGCAAAATAAAATCTTGAATTACGCGTGTACTGTAAACTATCAGAGTAAACATTTAACTGTCACATAGGAAAAATGTTTGAGACAATTTTCGATTTCATGGAAACAAGTTAACATTTAAAAAAAAAATTGTTAAATGAAATCGTTTGATAACACGAAGCATCCGTAAAGAGATGAATGACAAAGACTAAGTGCTGGTGTTAATACATCTGAAATTCGTATTGTTACTACATTCTTAATTGCCTATCAACACACAAGAGGTTGTTGGGGTCAATTTAATTATATGCTCAAATTTAGAAACGACTAGTCAACGAAAATGAAATGTAGACAAGCATGAAATTAATTTATCAACATAAACCGACTTGTTGATTTGGACCGATGCAATCACTCTTAACATTAAATCTGTCAAGGCTTATCTTAAGTAAACCTGTTAAATAAATGGAAAATGGAGAAATGGAGAAGAAAAATATGTAATAGTTTGCAACTATATATACTCATCGTTTTACTGAATGTAAGTTCGTTGAAACAAATATGCTAAATTAGGACATGTACTTAAGGATGTACTCTTCTGAGGTTTTAATCACGTTCAAGTCTCGTTTTGATCTGGTGTAACAGGTTTTTGTGTTATTTAACAAATTATGATCAAGTTTATTAGCAAACACGCATCTGAAAAATATGTCAAAAAACTAAATGTCTGTTGTTTGTAGAATTTTTTTACAAGAATTTAAAAAAATTACCAATTCGGTGGCCATTTTGAAAATGTGTATTAATGTGTATTTCTTGGGCTTCAAAAAAGGCAAAAAAATCACCTTTTTTGACACTAAATTGATCACTTAAGTTGTCATTGTGTCGCTATTTTAATTGTAGCAGGTTCAATTTTGCTGTACAACTTTATAATGTTTAATATTATAAAAATAATATGCAACAAACTGGAAAATTATACAATATTGTTATTTTTTTTTACATATTTAGTGTAACTGAAGCACTTTTGATTTTAACCCCCCAAAAGGTAAAAAATAACACAAACGATAATGGGACAAAAAAAGAAGCACACCGACCCCCCATTTTTGTGGATGTTTTAGAAAGAGAAACACATTTTCTTTTCATTCTTTAAATATTAAAAAAAGTTTAATAGCAGAACTTTTTATATCAAGCGTTTAATCTGCAAAAAATGGTAAAAAAATAGTATTTTTTTCATTAAAAAATAGGGGGTAGGGGTAACTAAAATCAGCTTTCTGAGTTAAAAGAATAAGATTAAGAAATTTTGCTACCATAATTTAAAAGAAAATAATATTTTCATCAATTCTACAAACATTCATACATATCTGATAACACACTTGGAAGAAATTGTATGAATGTGTTCTGCAAATGGTCAAAACCCAAAAAATCACCTAAAATCACATGTTGTGTTAAATTGGTATCTTTGACCGATCAAAACACAAAAACGAATACACCGACAAATAGTTTTTTTTGCATTTTCTACTATGCCATTAACTCCTTTTTCCAAAAATCCATATAAGAAAAAAAGTTTAATACAGGACATTTTTGACTTCTCAGAGGTGTACATCCTTCAGACAGATAATTCATATACTATTGTTGTATTTACATACGTCAGCTTAAAGCCCATTACAGCCAGAAGATATTTGGTATGTTTCGTTATGTGGCTGCCCCCAAGGTTGACTTACGACATATGATTTATAAACGTGAGCTTCCCCCCATCCCACCCCGATTGTGTTCTTGTAACGTGACATTAGGAGATGTCAAAAAGCTCATCATTATTACAAACCTTCCTATTTATAACTTGGAACTTGATCAGAGATGTAAATTTACTTTCTGTAAATTGACTCGGAACATTATATTTGCACAGGCGACTGTTACAACGCGCTGTGATATGTAATTTATCTTGCATTCGTCTGGCTGTAATCGCTTATGTAGAAAAAAACAAGGATACTTTTTTCAAAATAAAGACAAATAATAAAACAATGTCTAAGTCTGGTGTCAAGGCAAGAGGAAACTTGGCTAGTATCTGATGTGAAGTCTGAGGCAGTAAATGTTTAAGAAAAATCTTGGGGTGGCCCCTAGCGGGACCCCCACCGACACCGGAAAAGATTGGTCATCCTATCTTTTCAATCCTTCTGTATGTATTAAAGCAAAAGTAATTCCCAAAATCCACCACATTTCATTTCTTATCTCTAGTATATCGAAACATGTCGTCTTTCTCGTGTCTTAGCCTTTAAACTCACATTGTTTTGCACTCTTAGGAATAAGTATCAATAGTAAACGGAAACTTACCACAAACTGAGTATGATCTGACTTATGACGTTATGTACAGACAAGGTATGTGTAAGTACAAATGTACACGTGTGATATCAGTTGTTTCATTATTTGGTGATATTATCAAATAAGTTTACTTACGTAGTCTACACTCACAAAGACGAGGAAAGCCACGAGGACAGATAAACAGATGAGATACAGGAATACCCTAAACAGGATCCGCTGTGACGGCATTTTATCTAAACCGTCTGCTCCCTCCCAACGCCAGTGTCAACATACACATGTGTGTCAATACCGATACGAGCTTCCGGCTGTACAGTAGATACAAATAACGGAGCGGAAACTCGAACGGAACGACTGACAATAAACAGACGACGGTGTACTAAATCCAGATGTCTGCCATTTAACATCATACCTCTGGCATAAACCTTTAAATTTTTAATCTGATAAAAACGTGTGGATGATGGCAGGAAACCTGCCGGAACAAGAAACCCAAATAAGGACCGGACAATAATTAAATAACATCCAAACGTGTAAACTAGTTTTACAATGATTTAACATAACATTTAACATTGAATATACACTGTACTATCTTATAGCCTATATTACACTTATACTATAAGGTATGTCATCAAATATCGTTAAGATATTTCGTATATATAAATATCGCTTAACTTATCTTAAATCTTTGATAAAATCTATAAATTCCTTTCTTTATAAAATTCTTACATATTATAATGCAAAAATTAGAATCGGTAGCTTCAAATATAACGTACGTACGTCTAAAATCCTGATAAAGCATCTTCAAAATAGTCAAATCTTGTATAATTGATGGAATATCTTATAAATGAAAATAAAGTATGAAAGACACGTTTTAAAAGAGATAATCTCAGATATTTGATATTTTTACAAGATATACATGTAATATATACGATATCTTACATAATTTCTTCACAAGATATACATGCAAATATATAAGATATCTTACATAATTTCTTTACAAGATATCTAATATCTTTTATCAAATTTCTCACCCCTGCAGGTATAGGGGACCGAGAAAAGAGTACACCTACTGTTACCCACGGCATGTATCGTAAGAGGCGACAAATGTGTGAAACCCCTGCAGAAATGTGGATTTGCTTTTGTGTCCTCTACTTGCACGGAGATAACATCAATCTGTTGCACACATTGCGGTATTTGCGATTTTCATATTTGTCTTTACTTCTTACTTTTGTTTCCTTGAGCCTTGCTTTGTTAGACACCACACTGTACTAGTTCCTGTCATCACATGTTTGTTAGAAAACACACTGTACTAGTTCATGTCACCACATGTTTGTGTAACACCACACTGCAATAGTTCGTGTCACCACATGTTTGTTAGACACCACACTGCAATAGTTTCTGTCACCACATATTTGTTAGACACCACACTGTACTAGTTCCTGTAATCACATGTTTGTTAGACACCACACTGTACTAGTTCCTGTGACCACATGTTTTTGTAACACCACACTGTACTAGTTCCTGTCACCACATATTTGGGTAACACCACACTGTACTAGTTCCTGTCACCACATATTTGGGTAACACCACACTGTACTAGTTCCTGTCACCACACGTTTGTTAGACACCACACTGCAATAGTTTCTGTCACCACATGTTTGTTAGACACCACCCTGTACTAGTTCCTGTCACCACATATTTGTGTAACACCACACTGTACTAGTTCCTGTCACAACATGTTTGTTAGACACCACACTGTACTAGTTCCTGTGACCACATGTTTTTGTAACACCACACTGTACTAGTTCCTGTCACAACATGTTTGTTAGACACCACACTGCAATAGTTCCTGTCACCACATATTTGTTAGACACCACACTGTACTAGTTCCTGTGACCACATGTTTTTGTAACACCACACTGTACTAGTTCCTGTCACAACATGTTTGTTAGACACCACACTGCAATAGTTACTGTCACCACATGTTTGTTAGACACAACACTGTACTAGTTCCTGTCACCACATGTTTTTTAGACACCACACTGCAATAGTTCCTGTCACCACATGTTTGTTAGACACGACACTGTACTAGTTTCTGTCACCACATGTTTGTTAAACACCACACTGTACTAGTTCCTGTCATCACATGCTTGTTAGACACCACACTGTACTAGTTTCTGTAACCACATGTTTGTTAGACACCCCACTGTACTAGTTCCTGTCTCCACATGTTTTTGTAACACCATTCTATACTAGTTCCTGTCTCCACATGTTTGTGTAGCACCATACTGTACTAGTTCATGTCACCACATGTTTGTTAGACACAACACTGTACTAGTTTCTGTCGCCACATGTTTGTTAGACACCCCACTGTACTAGTTCCTGTCATCACATGTTTGTTAGACACCACACTGTACTTGTTCCTGTCACCACATGTTTTTGTAACACCATTCTATACTAGTTCCTGTCACCACATGTTTGTGTAGCACCATACTGTACTAGTTCCTGTCACCACATGTTTGTTAGACACAACACTGTACTAGTTCCTGTCACCACATGTTTTTGTAACACCATTCTATACGAGTTCCTGTCACCACATGTTTGTGTAGCACCATACTGTACTAGTTCCTGTCACCACATGTTTGTGTGACCCCACACTGTACTAGTTCCTGTCACCACATGTTTTTGTAACACCATTCTATACTAGTTCCTGTCACCACATGTTTGTGTAGCACCATACTGTACTAGTTCCTGTCACCACATGTTTGTGTGACCCCACACTGTACTAGTTCCTGTCACCACATGTTTCTTAGACACCACACTGTACTAGTTCCTGTCACCGCATGGTTTGTTAGACACCACACTGTACTAGTTCCTGTCATCACATGTTTGTTAGACACCACACTGTACTTGTTCCTGTCACCACATGTTTTTGGAACACCATTCTATACTAGTTCCTGTCACCACATGTTTGTGTAGCACCATACTGTACTAGTTCATGTCACCACATGTTTGTTAGACACAACACTGTACTTGTTCCTGTCACCACATGTTTGTTATAGACACCACACTGCAATAGTTCCTGTCACCACATGTTTCTGTGATATCACACTTCACTACAGTTCCTTAGGTTAAGTATTGATTTATTCTATTTTATATCATTTATTCTAATTCTAGACTTGTGTAACACCATACTGTACTAGTTCCTGTCACAACATGATTGTGTAACACCATACTGTACTAGTTCCTGTCACCACATGTTTGTAGACACCACACTGCAATAGTTCCTGTCACCACATGTTTCTGTGATATCACACTTCACTACAGTTCCTTAGGTTAAGTATTGATCTATTCTATTTTATATCATTTATTCTAATTCTAGACCTTTACAAATGTAATACACTGTACTAGTTCCTGTCACCACATGTTTGTAGACACCACACTGCAATAGTTCCTGTCACCACATGTTTCTGTGATATCACACTTCACTACAGTTCCTTAGGTTAAGTATTGATTTATTCTATTTTATATCATTTATTCTAATTCTAGACCTTTACAAATGTAATACACTGTACTAGTTCCTGTCACCACATGTTTCTTAGACACCACACTGTACTAGTTCCTGTCACCACATATTTGTGTAACACCACACTGTACTAGTTCCTGTCGCCACATGTTTGTGTAACACCACACTGCAATAGTTCCTATCATCACATGTTTGTTAGACACCACACTGTACTTGTTCCTGTCACCACATAGACACCACACTGTACTAGTTCCTGTCATCACATGTTTGTTAGAAACCACACTGTACTAGTTCCTGTAACCACATGTTTTTGTAACACCACACTGTACTAGTTCCTGTCACCACATATTTGTGTAACACCACACTGTACTAGTTCCTGTCACCACATGTTTGTTAGACACCACACTGTACTTGTTCCTGTCACCACATGTTTGTTATAGACACCACACTGCAATAGTTCCTGTCACCACATGTTTCTGTGATATCACACTTCACTACAGTTCCTTAGGTTAAGTATTGATTTATTCTATTTTATATCATTTATTCTAATTCTAGACCTTTACAAATGTAATAAACAGAAAAGTGAATGATTTCCCCGTTTAATACCATATATATTTCATTTGTATGGCAACGAATGTTTTTGTGAACGGGGGCAATTAGTTTTATAACTGTTACTTATATAATGATATGCTAGGATACATGTATAAGCAAATTTGTACTTATAATCATCAATTAAATAAACGAAATGGACAATTCTGTGTGTGATATTATCGTGGTATTAATCACTACAAACGATCAAACGGATTTGGAATAAATAAGTCATTTTCATTTTTGGTCCGAACAATTTACACCCATATCAAAACAAATCTGTGTACACAAAAATAAAGAATACAGCTTGTGGGCTAGTGCTTATCGTGCCGGTGTAATGTCTTACACATTTTATAAATATGCGTCTTTATGTTGGATAGATATATCAATAATAGATGTAACATTTGGCGATACTATCGACCAGTATCATTTGGAGCCCTGTAACGAGTATACCTGAGAACGTGTTATATACCACACCGTCTACGTGTACTACGGAAGTTGTATTCTAGTTCACATGGGTAGATCATTAAATAAAATATGTAAACGTTTTAGACTTGGGTGGGTTTTAAAGCTCGATGGGCACGCATACTATAAAAGCGGGCATATGCGTGTGTATATATGGAGGTGTACTAAACAGGTGAGCACAGGTAAAAACAAGGTAGTTCCTCGGTCGTCTGGCTATAGCCAGCTGGATCACTACGACACTGGTTCATAAATATTGCCCGGGGGCATGAACGTTTACCCCGTTCGTCTTCTATGTACAGCTGCACTACTGTGAACCCACGAGTCTATTGCTACAACTACGTACACGCTACGTAGCTGTGATTGAACGACCAGCCAACACAGTCCGTAAGTAATTTGGGAATCTTTCTACCTATAAAATATTGACTTCTCTTGATAAGGCGTTTGATAAGGCGTATTACTTAAGTGTATGAATTACAAGCTTAATGTGTATACGTGTGTGTGTTGATGTTCCCCTAAATATATACTATCGATATCGCATTAAATTAATTATGTCTCCCCTTCGAATGAAGGGGGACATATTGTATAAGTACTGGTTCTTCTTCTGATTCTTCTTCTGGTTCTTTTTCTTCTTCTAGTTCTTCTAATCGCAACGTGTCCGGGCCATAACTTTTAAACCGTGGAAAATAGCTTGATGAATCTTGCGGTATGCCAGCATCATCCACAGAAGGTGTGCAGTGCACTGGAATTAGGTCACTGTGACTTTTTCATCAAGGTCAAGGGTCAAATAAGTGCAACATTTTAAGTAAATTATTGTCCGGCCTGTACATTTTAACCCATTAAAGATATCTTGATCAAACTTAATGCATACCTGCATCACCCACAGAAGGTGTGCAGTGTACTAGAATTAGGTATCGTGCCTCACTATATGCAGAGTTATGGCCCTTTGTTTATTTTTAATACCGAAGTTTGTCCGGAGCATAAGTTCCATGATATTTCTCCTACGTTGACCAAACTTGCTATAAAAATGATGAGCCAATAGAGGAACCAGATTGTAATCAGATCTGTGATAATTCCTATGTTTATATACATATAAATGTGTCTATAATACTATAGCTGCCGATACTAAATTAACATGAACCAGAATTATCTAAAAGTTTAATGGTTTAGAATGTACACACCTTAATCTTTATGCATATTGGCTAATAAGGGGAGACATATGTTTTTGTTAACAAAAACAAATGTCTTGTTATCCATGTGTTTATATATACTTAGTTACCTTAAACCCACACGATTGACGATTATACTGGTCCATGTTAAAAACTCCATAACGCTTGCCCACTGTTCGAACTTTATTATTTATGTGCACATACACAACATGCACATTGCATACGCACATAAACTCCGTACAATGTATACTGTATAAGGGTTGAATGAAGAGTAAAAATGTCAAGAATTGTTTTTTAAGAAAAACCCAGAGCACCTGAAGAATACGTGGTTGCTGCTATATACTACACACATAGAAACTGTCAGTTAAAATATGTATCAGTTAATTTTCATTTAAACCAGAATATGATAGCTTACAACATAAGTTAATTTTGATGCCACTGTGATTATATACGGTTCGCACTGAAACCGTCTAGTCTGTATGTAACATTTATCTATTACAACCCATTTCCAAATATCTGTGTCGAAACGAAAAAGTCTCGACAATCTCAAGACGTTTATAGAGCATGTAAATACTTTTAAATTTAAAAAATCAGATTTGGTAAATTTAAGATTTAATGTATTGTACATGTATCAATATTGTTTTAACAAAATGTGGAACACAAGCAGTTTTATATACATGTATACCTGTGCATATATATGTAATTTATACCTACTCCCAGGTGAATGCCGATCGACGGTTTAAGCACTTGTTTTCTGTTTTGTATTTTACTTGTACACCTATTATTGTGTATATCAGATATTGTGTATTTCATTTTTATTTTACAGAAGTTTCTCAGATATTTATAATTTAAATTTCACATACTTCATCCGTAAGTGTGGCCTTACACAACAGAGAGTATTCCGCGACGAAACCTGGAGATATTAGTACCGGTTTGGGCTGCAATGTTAGAGTTAAAAAGGCAGGCACTACACATAATGTCCTAAGATATTGCATGTGACCACAGCACAGTAGAAATTAGAAAATCTGTCTGTCGTAATGTCTCTGACTTTTGGCATTGCGTTTCTGCGACAATATTGATCAGTTGAAAGTTAATAATGATAAAGGCTTTATTCATTCTTGATAACATATTGAGCGTGAAGCTCATCTTACATATGGTCAAGATACAATGTATGATATAATGTACAATATTTACAGCCAAGTTCATATTGGTAAGCTCATAGTTTAGATATATATATATATATATTTAAGATGATTTGCAGACATTATACTGTAGACGTACATAATGTAAATGTTTATATAATATGGGTGTTTTGTCTATCAAACCTGTTAATAACTCGAGTTATCACGGCGTAACAGCGGGTCAAAAATAATCTTATATAACCATAGCTTTTGGACATCACTTCATACAATTAGAGGAATTTCACTACAGCATAAAGCTGACACATGTTTTTTTTTATATAAACTAGTGGATATGAATAACTAACTATTGGTTGCCAATAATGTGAATTAATATTATGTACATCCAACGCTCCACATGTCCCAGTCCGTGGCGATTCGACCGCACTACTCGTCAGCAAGTGATTCTAGGGTCTGCTGATCGATAGATACTATTTGTTTTTACGAAATATAATCAAACATACATACGTATTCATTTGACGGTTGGACGCCCGCACATAGCACTCGAGTGGTACGGTACAGCGCATATTTTTCTTTGTTATTGCACTATTTATAACTCGATCGGCAAGTTTAGTCTTTTCGGGCCAAAATAAATTTCATCTGTTGAGAATAAACAAATAAAAATCAGATAAGTCAATATTGTCATTGGAAGTCTACGAATATATATCGTCGAAATACAAAACTTGCGTTTTCTATGCATTGGAATCGTGGAGACAGTTCACTACATGCATGTACTACTCTTATAATAAATTAACGCAATTCCATAGCAAGGTAAGATAACCACGTCATCAGGGGTGAAAACCTCAGCACAATGAACCAAAAATTCAAAATAAAGTCCTTTTCATCACAAGGGGAGATAACCCTACGCAATGGCTGGAAACCTCGATAAACGTTGAAAAATTTCATCAGAAGTCACATAATTTCAAGAGAATCTCATCTTGATGCTACACAATTTTAACACAAAGAAACACAATACAAAAGGAGACAATCTCACCAGATACCCATCACAAATTCTCTTTACCAAACCCAAGGAAGTCTTGTTGAAACAAATCGTTATGTCTCATTACAAGGAAAATAAATCAAATACCATTTTAAAACCACCCTATGCTGGGGGGGNCTATTGAAATATCAATATGTGACAAGTTGAATTATGACACAGCCTGGTCTCCTGCACATCAAGATAACATTTCGATAAAAAAAAAAAATGGGTGTTAATAATGAGGTCTTTGTTGGTACAAAGTAAGTGTTTGTTGTTGGTACAAAGTAAGTGTTTGTGACATATTGCGCAATTACATTAAAACAGTTGGAAACCCCGTTACTGTATGCTATGAAGACTGTTATCTTGCAGCTAGGAAAGCAGCACATCAGTTGAGCCTTCCTTTAGGGGTAAATTATGCATTACACATCAAAACAGCGTTCATGCCTGATAGCAATAACAGAAATCCGATCAATTATTGAAAAGGTACAGTTATAAAAGGAATTGTTACCTTTAATATCATATATACTGTATGTATATCGAAGTGGAGTGGTCCACAGATCGTACACTTAATGAGTCAATTAAATACTGCACAATGGCATGGTCGCTGGGCGGACGTTATGGTCACGGGAATAGGAACACTACTTCGTCGTTTGCTCTGTAAGTAGATAAAATGTCGCTGTATTTCTCTATATTTCGATTTCGGTGATGAAATGAAACCGTGATGTTAACACAATGTTGTTTGTCACCTTTGTAGTAACATTTGTTTAACATTACAAAACTGAGAAATGAATACCTGTTCCACGTTGTATACAACCGACATGTCGATGGTCATAGTTTGAATTTAAAACACTTTTGCAAATCTGTGTTTCTACCTTTATTATTTGGTGCATATTTTTTTTAACAATTTCATTAAAAAACAAGGGTCTAAAATGTAGATTTTATGCTTGCGTCGTCGGAAATGTTAATTTAGCATAGAGTTAACTTACCTTGCCATCAACTGAGTGCCTTTAGGGAGGCGATAGTGCTTTAAAGGCAAACGCAACTTCATCCTGAAACGAGATTTTAAACCATACTGAAAAGGGAAGAAGATAATAATGACTGTAAATATAAAGTGACTTGAAATTGTGAATTAGTGATTACAGTACTAAGCGTTATAATGTTGCTGTTCGATCTGAGCTCCATAATCAGATTACAGTAACACGCGTCAAAGTGACTATTTAGCACAAATAGTAAAGGTTTATGTGCACAGGAATGGGAATCAACCTAACAGGTACAAAATGTTGTTTTATGCGCAGGAATGGAAAACAAAGTAACAAATACAAAATGTTTTTGTACGCAGTAGTGGAAAACATGTGTGAGAATGGGAAACAGTAACAATACAAAACGTGTTTGTGCGCAGGTGTGGGAAACATGTGTAAGAATGGGAAACAAAGTAACAAATACAAAACATGTTTGTGCGCAGGAGTGGGAAACATATGTAAAAATGGGAAACAAAGTAACAAATACAAAACGTGTTTGTGCGCAGGAGTGGGAAACATGTGTAAGAATGGGAAACAAAGTAACAAATACAAAACGTGTTTGTGCGCAGGAGTGGGAAACATATGTAAAAATGGGAAACAAAGTAACAAATACAAAACGTGTTTGTGCGCAGGAGTGG